CTGAAGTCCGCTCGTATACAAGCAACTTTCAAGGTTATGCAAAGTGTTTGATAAAACGGCTTATATACTGAAGGAAAAACACTATTCTATGGCAAGCTTACATTTTTCTCCGAAGAATGGTGCATATCCCAAAGCAATATTTGTCTTGGAAATGATGCCGAAAATGACGTTCAGGTCACGTGGTATTGCTACACTGCAAAGCATTTTACAAATGTTTCAATATCTGTAACACACAATTATTCAGACTAATTGGTGAAGCAAAATAGTCAATAGTTATAATAGGCAGCTCTTAGCATTTGAATAAACATATGTGTAAATGAAGCACATATCGATCATTTGGTCAAAATAATGTCAAACATTTCTATAACGTTATCTAAACTGAGATAACAAATCGCTTCCAACCCCTGTTCTTGCGAATAAACATTCAATTTGCAATTGTACTGATTAATTAAAGAAAAAGAACTTATTACCAGTGTTTTGTATCAAACCAAATTAATATGCTAAATGTAGAATATTCAAAGGTTCTCCATGTGATTTCAACAGCATCATTCAAGAGAATAATGAAGTAATTAGAAGAAACATACTTGACATCGGGTTAGTATAAAAGCCCTTTTGAAGTGTTTTTAAACTTGAGATCTTTTATGAACTAAATTAAAGTATAACTATTTCAGTAACTGTAAATAGTGACAATATTAAAAAGGAGTTTTAACGTAAAATCGTTCATGCTCATTTCTGTAAATAAGTACGTGTGCATAATTACACAAATACATTTATTGAGATTTCAAGCGAAATGTAAAAGACAAATAAATCATATTGAACAGCCTTTTCAGCACATGGAAATATATCAAACATAACTTTTAAAATGCATCAATTAATACATAAACTCGCTAATGAATATGTATGAAGCTGTGTGATTGTTTATAAACATACATGAGATCCAATTGTGGTTTTAAATTAACATCATGTCCATCCAAGAATACAGGTATAATTCATAACTTTACATTTTGTCATACTTGTTCTTATTTTATGATAAACGTAAACTGAATAGTCAGTGACCCTTTGACAAACATATTTTATCTGTAAACGTATGTAATGTTCATTTTATACAAAAAGTGGGGCAGTCGTTTTCATAGTTCAGGGAGTTTAATATTGTCATCCTTAACATTTTTCATTATCAATTATTTCTCAATCGTGAGAGTTGTATATAACTAATTTAGCACAGCTTCACAATAAAAGAATGAGAATAAATCGCTTTTAAAGAAAGATATGCTACAATACATTGCAAAGTAACAACGTTAAGAAGAGAAACGAATACAGTTTTGAACAAAAGAAGGTTGAACAGCTAAATAGATTAGCACTGACTTTGCCATTACAAAAATGGATAGAAATAATGAAAAATATTTAGAAATATTGGTAGAGTAGATGATTTTGAATAATAATCATTAAATTTTATAGAATCAAACTACAACAATATATGTTGCAAATTCCAAACATCATTATATTAATCTATGCTCAGTTGTAGTTATTTGCAACATAACTCCAATTATATAGTTAAAATATTAAAAAAAAATATATATGCAAGATTTAGTTTTCAAAGCAAAGTTTGCTCATATTTATGTCTTACATATTATTTACTCTTGATGGACCGCTTACATGTGACTTAAATAACAAAAGTAACTCATTTAAAATTAGGAAAAAGTCATTTTAACACGTTTAACTTAATAGGTTCATTGGTGGTTTCCTTCCTATAAAACATGTCAACAGTGTGTCCCTTAAAGTGTTCATTCTCCCTTTATTTCACGAATCAAGTAGACAGTATTACAGCCTAAATCACTGTTGTGGACTCAGTTTGATTGAACCCGTTCATGAATGTCAGTGATTAATGTTAACTAGTAAAATATATTGTAGCAGTCAACTCATAAACAAGAATATACTTATAATTATAAATCACCCAAAGCCGATACGGCGGTAATTATGAAACCTTAGTGTACAGAAAGTCTCTTATTTTTCAGTATCAGTACTGGATACAAAGATAACGAAATAGTAGAAAAAAACTAAATGATAGCGAATAAAAGATCAAATATTCAAATTAACAATTGATATACTGATATTGTTGACTAATTATCATTCCATTTTATTATCCCCCGCCGAAAAGGCGGCGGGGGATATAGAAATAGTCTCCGTCCGTCCGACCTTCCGTCCTTCCGTCCGACATTTTTGTCCGGAGCATATCTCTAAAAGTATTTGAGTAATCAACTTGAAACTTCATAGGTGGATAGACCTCATTAAGGAGGAGTGCAGTGCACAAGAATGATAACTCTACCCTGCATAATTTTTGAGTTATTGCCCTTTGTTATTTTTCAAAATTGATTTTTGTCCAGAGCATAACTCCAAAAGCCTATGAGATATCAACATGAAACTTCATAGGTGCATAGATCTCACTCAGGAGGTGTGCAGTGCACAAGAATGATAACTATACCTTTCATAATGTTAAAGTTATTGCCCTTTATTATTTTTCATACTTAATTTTTCACCCGAGTGGAGCATAACTCAAAAAGTGTTTGACATATCAACATGAAATGTCATAGGTGGATAGATCTTATTGAGGAGGAATGTTGTGCACAAGAATGATAACTCTTACCTATACATTTTTTGAGTTATTGCCCTTTGTTTTTTTTCATGCTATTTTGTCCAGAGCTTATCTCAAAAAGTATTTGAGGTATCAACTTGAAACTTCATAGGTGGATGGATCTCATTGAGGAGGAGTGCAGTGCACAAGAATGATAACTCTACCCTGCTAATTTTTGAGTTATTGCCCTTTGTTATTTTTCAAAATTAATTTTTGTCCAGAGCATAACTCAAAAAGCCTTTGAGATATCAAAATAAAACTTCATAGGTGCATAGATCTCACTCAGGAGGTGTGCAGTGCACAAGAATGATAACTCTACCTTTCATAATTTTAGAGTTATTGCCCTTTGTTATTTTTCATACCTAATTTTTCACCCGAGTGGAGCATAACTCAAAAGTGTTTGAGATGTCAACATTAAATGTCATAGGTGAATAGATTTTATTGAGGAGAAATGCTGTGCACAAGAATGATAACTCTTCCCTGTACACTTGTTGAGTAATTGCCCTTTGTTCTTTTTCATACTATTTTGTCCGGAGCTTATCTCAAAAAGTATTTGAGGTATCAACTTGAAACTTCATAGGTGGATGGATCTCACTGAGGAAGAGTGCAGTGCACAAGAATGATAACTCTACCCTGCATTATTGTTTAGTTATTGCCCTTATTTTATTTTTCAAAATTAATTTTGTCCAGAGCATAACTCAAAAGGCCTTCGAGATATCATTATGAAACTTCATAGGTGCATAGATCTAACTCAGGAGGTGTGCAGTGCACAAGAATGATAACTCTACCTTTTATAATTTTTGAGTAATTGCCCTTTGTTATTTTTCATACTTAATTTTTCAATTCAATTTTTTTCTCAAAAAGTATTTGAGGTATCAACTTGAAACTTCATAGGTGGATAGATTTTACTGAGGAGGGATGCAGCACACAAGAATGATAACCTACCCTGCATTATTTTTCAGTTATTGCCCTTTGTTATTTTCAGCCATCAGTATTCACATTGGTTTCAAATCTGTAATCACTATAGCCATCATTTTTTATTACCAAAAGACCTCTTAAAATGGAATTATTCTGCTGTACTACATATACATTCTTTCAATGAGCAAACACATTCGGCGGGGGATGGCCATGTTGACATGGCTCTTGTTGGTCCCTTATTCACATGTACGGCATAATATTAAAATATGTTGTTATACAAATCTTAATATTATGGTTGTACTGTCAAATGCTGGTAAGAACGTACAGTTCCCGGTCCTCCGTACATATAAGAATAGTAAACTCCCGTGTTAACAAATGTTATAACTCACACTCTTTATCACTGAGTACTATATTCAAACCCCACTAACCAAACGGTATGTTGAGAAATCTAAATGAATCAATGTTATATTATAAACAATAGCAAAACCTTGACTTTTAGGGAAGTTAATTAATTAGTAAAAAGATTTTTAATAAGTTGTTTGGTCTGATTTCAACGCGGAGTACATAGCCATTTGTACATCGCCAAAGTACTTTCGTTATAGCGGACTAATATTATACTTGTTACTGTCTTCGTTGGTGTTACAAGAAGTCATTTTACAATTTGCCGATGCTGTGCATTGATAATACAAATGTAAACACAATCTAATGAAATCCAACGTTTTCAACAGCAATATCATTAAAGATGTAGAACTTTACATTGCGTTCGAGGAATTCATGGCAGCAGTCAAATATATCACAAAACAAGATAATCAATAAGTAGAAGTCCTTTACCTTATTTTACAATAACATAGGCTTTTGTGCAACTATTCATAATGTGGGTACATTGTTACTAAAACAATCCAATGAAAGTAACGTTAAAGTATATACAGTACTATGATACAAGAAGGCCATGATTTTTGATGTGTTTTGTCTACTTAATATTCCTTTTGCGAATATCCGATATGATCCAAAGCAAGGGGCGTTGGCGTCAACCCCGACAATATCCAACACTAAAGGATCCTCCTGATCTGATAAAGTGAGATCTGTAGATTCATTGCACATACAATAGTCTAACTTTGAATTCCAGAGTGTTCTCTGTTTTTTGGGGGCTTATACGGATGACTTACCCCACTAAAACCCAAAAACAAACAATTTTTCAATTTAAACCCCACTGGCCTTGTTTTAAATCTGGGACAAAAAATGAAAGTGCCCCATGTTATTAAATTTAAATTTTGTTAAAGGTGGAAATTCCCAAAGGAATGTGAGGTAAAGGGAAAGAAAAAAATTAAGACTGATTGATTTAATTTGTTATGAAAGACTTACCAGTTTTACTTCTGTGTAGTAAAAAAATCGATGTTTTTTATTTTTCATTTCGATTGATTTTTGTTGTGCACAGCTTAATGTGGTGATTGTTTTAATTTTTTGTTCCAGTGTTCAAACTTGTCCGTTCCAAAATACCAAGGTCTTCAACCCTTTCACCACCAAATGCTGTAATGAAATAAGATAAATATAAGTCAATAATAGCTTTTTATTGTAATGAAAAAAATGCACTCATATTAGCTGCTTTTTTAATTCATTTGATAATGCATCTTTGATTTTGCGGTTTTGGTTGAAATACATTTCTAAATAAATTACCTAGTTTCGGAACAAAAACCTTTATTTATACTATGTCACTATTCATTCATGCTACATTTTCCATTTTGGATATTGTTTAATCACCATTTTTATGCCCCCGCCATGTAATGGCAGGGGCATATAGTGTTACCCTGTTCCGTCCTTCCGTCATTCCGTCATTCCGTCCTTCCGTCATTCTGTCATTCCGTCATTCTGTCATTCCGTCATCATCAGTTTCCGTTCATTATCTTAGTAACGGTCATGCTATATACTTAACTCAAAATTTGACTAAATTGGATATGTCATTTTGAGAAATACAGGTCAAGTTCGAATTTGGTCATGGTTCAATGATTTTTGGCAGAGTTTATGCCCCTTTTACTTTGAAAATAATATGAAATTTTCAAAGTTTCCGTTCATTATCTTCCCAACGGTACAACACATTCAATTCAAATTTGACATATGGATATGTCATGAGAAAATACAGGTCAAGTTCGAATTTGGTCATGGTTCAATGATTTTTGGCAGAGTTATGCCCCTTGTACTTTGAAAATAATATGAAATTTTCAGTTTCCGTTCATTATCTCCCCAACGGTACAACACATTCAACTCAAATTTGACATATGGATATGTCAAAGTCAAGTTGGAATTTGGTTATGGTTCGATGATTTTTTGGCAGAGTTATGTCTCTTTCACTTTGAAAATAATACAGATACATCTTAGGAATAAGCAGTTTAAGTGTGAATTTGGTCGTGGTTCAATGATTTTGGACAAACTTATCTCTCTTGAATATTGGACAAATTTTGAACTTTCAGTTTCAGCACTCATACTTTTATGGAAATGTATGTAGCCATTATTTTGGCTACAAATATGAAATATGCTATTTTCAAAAGGTTAAGACTGAATAATTTCAGTGTCTTGAACATTGTATGAAAATGGTTTGTGTTAACATTGAAAAGTTTTAAGGGCTTTGAACTTAAATTAAAACAATAATTTGTGCAAACAAATTTGGAACTAAATATTATAACATCTGAAATTTTGGCTGCATGCGGGGGCATCCGTGGCATGATGACACATTTCTAGTTTTTATTTTGAAATTCATTAATGTATCTACGCATGCAATTCTTTGTAACATCACTTTTATTTGTTCTTGTGTGATTATATATGAACTGTTTCAAACGAAACTGCAATATTACCTACATATTTGAAAGCAAATTTTAGACCGTTGTGTGTTTAATGATTAACAGAAAATAAAAGAACATACATTTTATAATACAGTTATCCTCCGTTCTTGCAAACAACATCAGCATTGCAGCAGCAGCCATCGAATGTGTTATACTTCAAAATAAAATCGTTATATCCCTTAATTTGATTTAGTACAATCATCTAATGGGCAATGAATAAAATTAATGTTAAGAAAAAAAGATACCGCTCATAAAGTAATTAATAATTGCGAAAAAAATCAAATTACTTTCAACATGAAACTCTAAATGGAATGTTCAAAACATAACTTATCGTGTCACATTAGCGGGTTTTTAGTAAAAAAAAAGCTGCAAAATGTGCAGTAAAAACTGCATACCGGTGATTTTGGTAAAATACTTCTTAGCGCCGGCTGTAGTTACTTAAAAATAGACAATTTAAAAATTTGTATACTTGTGATTAAAACTGAATAGCTTACCTACTATCATACATACAAGTCTTTGTTGAAACACTGGTATTGACTGCTAAGTAGAATGTTTTATTGGTTCTTTCAATAACAGAATACGCTTTGTAAAATGCCTCTTCTAATGCGTCTACTACCTTTTGATTCGGTGTCCATTGACTGTCACGTCTTTCACTATGTCCTGAAATTATTTAATTTAGCTGGGTTTTTTTTTTTTATTGTAATTAATTGGTAAATTTTAAAAGCGTGCTATTTTTCCCTTTATTAAGAATATTGCAATATCGTCCCTGTGTTATTTCTATTTCAATGATGCTTAGTTTTGCATTATAAGTATCATACTTCATTTCCATTTAACTATCTTTTTTATTGACTTTATCTAATGTTGGATAGTCTATACCAAAACATTTTATATCTGTACTGTTTTGTTAATGGCGTATAAAAGTTTGTGTTCGTCATTTAATATCTAGCAAGTGTTATTGTATTGTTATGCAATAAAAGGAATATGCTGCTGATTTATTGATTATTAAATACTACATGCAAAAAAATAAATGTGTTAAATTGAAACAATTACTAGTAACTTTATGTTTCATTACTGTTCATTATTAATATCAATGTCAAAGTTAAGTTCCAACGTGTTAACATGAAAGTCTCAATTTGTTCGAGGCGTTCCCTTAACAGGATGATGTAACAGTATTAACTTGAAACATTTAAAATAAAATTTGAATGTGTTTCTGATTCTATAGTTGTTTATTTGTAAAACATAATCAAATGTACATGAAAAAATATTTTAGATTTATTGTCATGCACATGTTTTGGTTGTGTTAATTATTACTGCCAAAAATGAATACGTTAGTATATATTTCTCAGATTTTGCATAACTCTTTCTAAAAACACAAAAAATAAATGTTTGCCATAAAACTCTTTTAAAGATTATTTGAAAAAATAAAACCTGTTTTGTAGGCTTGTCCATGCAGTTAAGCAATTTCAGCGGATGAAGGTAGTTTTTTTGTAAGATTCCCATTCCCATGGATGTTCATCCTCCATTTCTCATCAACAGATAATTGGTCCTCCATGAAAGTCCTGACTGCTATTATGGGGTCGCAATGGAATGTTGTATAGTTCTTATCTTATCAAGTACCTTTGTGGGAGACAATTTTTTTATAAAACATTTGAATTGAAATCAAAACACATTGTACCTCATTATTTTGACAATAATGCAATGTTTGTATTTTAATATTGCAACTGAAATAATCATACCTTTGTTATACAAGTGTTATATGAAGATTTAAACCATATTAATATTTGATTCTTCCTTATTCTATCTAGGGTTGTTCTTTGTTACAATTTGTTGGAACCTGTTACATAGGCACTCTGTTTCGGTATCTCAATACATATTAGTTATAAAAATGGTTTATGTTCTATACGACATTGAAAAAAAGCTGCACACAATACCCTACATAAAATACACTTAATGTTATATTAAGCATTGAAATAAAATATTCGAAATAAAACAGGATAGGTAAGGAATACCATCTCAGTTTACCATTTGTTCATCTTCGCTATTTCTGTAAGTAGTCATACTTTGTCATTCGGCTAAGATTTTCCGAACTAAAAGCCTCTTTATAGGCATATTGAGGAAGGAGACTATGCCATACATCTCTGTTTTTAATGTGCGTTTGGTTGCAGTGCTCCCATGCAAGTTTATGCTCTCTAATCATATGGCAGAGTTGTTGAACATTTTGACACCGAGAGGCATCATCATAAACTTTTATCAAATCGCGTATATTTGTCAGCTTAGCTTTTTCTTCATTTGAGGCTTCGGAAAAGATTTGCCTAAACTCTGTCATAGATTTCTGGTACCCTTTGATAATGTAGCTAAAATATGAATGTAAGCACAATATTTATATAAAATCTGGTTTTAAATAAATGATAGATATACAAATAAATATTATACACATAATGTCCCCGAGGATTTAGTTTTGTCTCTTTACTTGTGTAGGTTATCAAGATAAGGCGACCCTTTTCAGATTATCTGTCTCTGCTAACTTGAAAGGAAATAATCAATGTTGAGCGCCTATATTTATCATATACTTAAATATTCACGTTTCTTCAGGTAAACTATTTACATCAAAGAAAATCGATCATCTATCCGAAACATTTTGGAAACTTAAGCTCAGTGCGAGATTTTTGTATTTGTTTTAATCCTTTGCAGTTCCATATGATAGACATGAGAAAGTACGATTGTGAACATGTATACAGGATTTAGTTCCATGCACCGACGTAACGTTACGTCTTTAGAGGTACAAACAGAAGAAAGGCCGTTATGCTTTAATGTATGAAAAAAACATTAAGCTATTTTACTATTTCAAAGAAGCAGAATTAAGTTTAAATGTTTTGTGTTGTTTGTACCTGAATATGAACTTCATAACATTATCATCCGTTTTTGCATGGCACAACCTAATGACATCTTTATGTTTCCATTTGTAGCCTTTACCGTATTTTCTTATAAGGCGAGTTAGTATTTCAGGATTCTGCTCAAACTTTGTATACCAGGATTGTATTGCTCGCTTATGTGCCCTTCCCCATCCGGTGGTTCCTTTCAGACAAAAACAATACATTCAAAAATAATAATCATGTATTTCGCTACACATGCTAAAAAGATATCATAATAGCTTACTACTTTCCCTTATTGGATACAGAAAGTAAGACACTAACAAACATAAAATAGGTAATAGTAACTGTTGAATCTGAATTAAATCATCTGGTTTTGTTTGTTTTGGGTTTTACGTCACACCGACACAGTATAGGTCATTCGGCGACGTTCCAGCTTCACTGGTGGAGGAAGACCTCATGTGCCCTTCCGTGCATTATTTCAGGCACGAACGGGCACCTGAGTAGAACCACCGACGTTCCGTAAGCTAGCTGGATAGCTTCCTCACATGAAAGACTCCAAAGTCCCTGTCGGGATTCGAACCACAGCGGTGAGGGGCAAGTGGTTTGAAGTCAACGACCTTAACCACTCGGCCACGGACGCCCCAAATCATCTGGTAGAATCATTATAATCATGCAGTGCTTGTGGATTTTTATCTAAAATAAAGTTTCTGTTCCAACTGCTAAATTGAAATAATAATTAAAAAAAACAACATTATTTGCAATTTGACATACTATCCTATCGTTCATGCTTTGAATAAAGAAATAATAGCATACGAACCGGCTTCTCTTTCTTCTGTAGTGTCTGACGGTTCCTCGCTGCTCACTTCCTCGCAGTAGTTAATAAACATAAAAAGATGTGTTGGTATTCGACAGACATCAGACAGTGCTGCATATGCTGCACGTTTAGTACTCGTGTCGTTTGACCTCGCACAAACGGCGAATGCGAACAAGAGAGCATCTTGACGTACATTTCGCCTACTTTTGCTGATATCCTTGATTGTTTTGACAACTTCCGCCCCGTTATTTTCTCGTATCAGTCTGAAAACGTTACAACACGATATATTTAATTAAACTCGGCTAACATAAGCAAAATTTATATATAAAACATTTTTGCAGTGAATAGGGAAATTTTGCTTTAAATTTTGATATGTTCAAAGCAATAAAAAAGCAATATAAGACAAACGTTTTTCATTTCTTGTCTTTTCACAACAGAGCACCCATTTATAAAGAATATACATGTTTTATATATTCTAGTAATTTTGTTTAGAGATTTTCATTATATGAGTAAAGCGGTGATTATACTCGTGACATCTATATGAACGAAACTGTTCTATATTATCTGCCGAAACTGACTAACCTAAACACGTTTTTCAATCCTGAAACATATATAAAAATAATAAGTCTTATCAAACTCTTCTGTTTGTGGCATATTATTAAAGAAACAAAAGCATTCATACCTTTTAATCGTGTTTTTGTTTTCAATTTCTAGCTCCTTTTTCATAGCGTAACATGTGCGATCAGACCCAATGATAAGAAATCTGCGTAAACGCTTTTTGTCATCAAGTTTGTATACAAAACCTCCAACATTGTTCGGAATCTGAAAACAAGTTACAATACAGTTACAATACAGTATTAAATACGTATGATCAAATGATTAGGCTAAACTTTTTGCTCCACTCGGTATCAAACCAAAAGGTTTTATTAAACAATCTATTGAACCATCATCAGTATTACCCATATGAGCTATAAAAGTATATAAGCCGCGCCATGACAAAACCAACATAGTGCGTTTGCGACCAGCATGGATCCAGACCAGCCTGCGCATCCATGCAGTCTGATCAGGATCCTTGCTGTTCGCTTACAAAGCCTTTAACAAGTAGAGAAACTGATATCGAACTACATGAATCATGATCAAACTGCGCGGATGCGCAGACTGGTCTGGATCCATGCTGGTGGCAAACGCACTATGTTGGTTTTGTCGTGACACGGCTCAATTATAAAGTTATATATCTGATGCAAAAGTTATTGTTTGAATTTTAAAAACGTATACTTCCAAAATGCTTGTATGAAATAAATATGGTAATTTATTTCCTTAAAAGCGAATGGCGCATGCACAAAATCATCGCTAAATGGATAAAAACCCTACTTAAAATAGCAAAATAATTATTTTGTTCCGGGACATTTTATTCTGTTTACGTACATTATTCATGTGTATTTAGTAAGAGAGACATTCTATGTTACAACTTTTTCAGGAATTAGTCATATAATCATGGAACCAATATAATCTTACTGTTGATAAATTTTATTTAAATATTTCATGAGATATAGATTGATACCCTTTAAGATCGCGTTTTTTCTTCGCTATTAAAAGTAGTATTGACCCAAACCTAAAACTGTATTATATAATAATTTTATTCACATAACAAAGAAAAATGTTCATCGACCGGGATATTTATGTATAATATAGAGCTTATTTAGTATGTAAGAAACACGCAGAGTAAGTATGGGATTTAAACCAAGTTTAGGAACAACAACCAGAAGCCATAAGTTTTGCTTTCATCCCATTATACAAATATGGAAGGGGGAGATCCATCAACAGCAATTAAATCAAAACTTAAAAGTGAAACTTGTAAACTCTGTTTGTTTGAATCTGTTCATGAGTGATAATAGAAAGTACAACATGCCTCCGACCCCAAGCACCGGCTTGATGAGGTCCTTGTTAAGCAAAGACCTAATTATAATGTTTTTCTTATATGTAATATTATATATTTTCTAATTACCTAATTTAGTTATTTTTATAGAACATAAAGCATAGCTTGAATAATAACTGATATAAAACAATCATATGCAAACATGGTCTATATCCTGACACTAAATCGAAAGTTTATCTTGTTACCTTTCCCGTTGTATCAGTATCCAATAGATCATTGGTACCGAACGCTTCATTAAGATATCATTTTTGATAAAAAAAAAACAAGAATAAAGATCAACAAGGCAAAGGCAACGCTCACAGGACGCAGCCCCCCCCCCCCCACTCCCGACACATCCAAGTAGGGCACCCAGAAGCACAAAAAAACATGGAGTAGACATAAGGGTGAATCAGTTAAACATGTAATGTGAAATAATATAAATTAAAACGGGCCCATATGGGAATTAAAGTGATAATGGCTGCAAAGGTGAGAGGGGGGAAGGGAGAAGGTTTGGAAATCACCTGTATGTCATTGTTTACAAATTTAACTTTAAATCTAAATCTTTCCACATGTATGCCGCATGTCTGACTTTATATCAAGCAATTCTAGTCTTTAAACGTTTACTACGCACCAATTGTTGACTTCATGTTGTGATAAAAGGTAAAAAGCAACCAGATATGCGTTTATGATACATGGGTATGATCTCTCTTTTTTCACACCTTCCCTCATTTTTTTTTCTCTTTTTTTTTACCTAAAACTTTTCTACTCTATTTTCATTTAGGAAAGACTTAAAAAACAAATACTTTCTCCATCATTTTTTTATTAATTTGACTTTTCTCCTCCTTACCTTATATGAAAAATTTTAAAAAATTCTATGACATAAGTAAAAATTAAGCTAGAGATAACATTCACTAAAAACAAATTATGATTTGATTTGATATTATTATGTAACTTTGTGAAATGAATGTATATGAAATTTATGTACATGTATGTCATAAAGGTATAATAAATTTAAAAAAAAAGAAACCAGATAGGAAAATAAATCAAAATCTACAATTAATAGGGAATATGACAAAATTATAAAATAACAGTAAGAGAACTCGCGCATGTGAAATAATTATATAAATCTATAACTGCATAGCTCACGACAAAACAATCTCGTAGCTTAAATATGAGGATCTGTATTTAAAAACTAATTTTTGGTTCTGATTTGATTTTAAATATATTGTAGACATTAAATATAGTTAAATTCGTTTTTAATCTGGATTGCTGTTCGGATAAAAGGTGAATTAATAGCAATTATTTCATGTTGAAAAAATCCATTTCAACGCTGAAGCCACTAACTGGAAAAGGAGCCCTAAAGTCCTAATAAAATGTTTATATCTCATCACCAGACTATTTAAACTTATAATTATGTGTAACAATGTCCTTATAAGGCGTTTAAAACTGCAAATAAGGAGTTAATTTTCTTCATAGAACATAAAGATTTCTCAATCAAACCGAGCCTGCAACATTTTCAATTTTGCTGCGTTGAGCTTTCTTTAGGGATTCTTATTTCACTCTTTTTTTACCAGGACGCTTTGCAATATTGCCACCGTCCGTAGTCTGAACAGGGGGAAAAAAGAGTATAATTGGTATCGAAATCGAAAAGTACAAATTAAAACACTCATTAAGTCTTGTAATGTTGTCAGTTTACCTTTGATTATTCATGTATAGGTCAGCATTAGTGAAATAAAAACTTTGTGGCGCGAATAAATGCAGACTTTACCATCACTAACCATTGGCTGAAATTTTTTACATAGCGCAGTATTATACACAAAATTAATGGATAGTCATTGTATGAAAAGATATTGCTGATTAAACCAATTCAATATATCAGAGTTAGAAAACAAGAGCGATCAGTAATCACATGTGTCGCCTCATGATGGCCAATTTCATGTTTGGACAAATTTTGTGACAGACGGACAGTGCACAACTAGACTTGGTACTGATCATTCCTGTAAAGTTTGGATAAAATTGCACCAGCAGTTTATGAGGAGTAGTCCGGACAAGCTTTTGCGTATCTGGCAACACACAGAAAAAAACACCTTTTTATCAAAGGGCCATAACTCGGCCAAAAATCATTCAACCGGAAAACCCGTGCAATATGCGCAAGGACTTGAGCTACAGATCAATCCTGTAAAGTTTCATTGAAATTGCATTAGTGGTATAAGAGAAGTAGTCCGGACAAACTTTAAAAATAAAAATTATTAAAGGGCCATAACTCAAACAAAAATCATTGAACCGGAAAATGCTGACAATATGCACAACTAGACTTGGTACTGATCATTCCTGAAAGTTTGGATGAAATTGCACCAGTAGTTTATGAGGAGTAGTCCGGACAAGTTTTGTGACGGACGGACGGACAGACGGACAGACAGACAGACAGACAGACGACGGAGAAGTGGTCCCTATATGTCGCCACTACTCCGTAGAGGCGACACAAAAATGGGACAAAATCATTAGACAATATACACTTTCAACCACCAATGATGTTCATTAAAAAAAGACGTACACATTGTTTGATGTTTCTGTTTCAGCACTACCTTGCAATTTAGATAAACATACTATGATCATTTTTCTTTCTAAAGATAATTAAATCTGTTAATTTCTTGATTTATTTTTACAGTTTCCAAATTCATACTCATTTGGTATATACATAAACGTTTGCATCTTCAGTTCTGATAGTATAGTCATAGTGAATTAGTATTGTGTATGGAAGTCACAATACAACTTTGTTTACATTTTGCTACATTTACAACACATAACTGCACATTCAGCGCTACATTTTTAAGCTGTAAAACATCTAACTAACATACACCTAATATGTTATTTAAACAATATTAAACACACGCTGTCATTTCTAAAAATGTTTGTCCGAGGCAAAATGTGCCTCGAAAGATCATGTAACTTAAATTTTTATGGTTTTATATCATAAATATGATGCTCAAATGAAGATTCATCAATATTGTAAGTTCAAAAAAGCATTAATTGTAAAGATATTACCAAATTTACATTTTATGTAAATAATAGGAGGTAATTAGAAATTTATTTTTGATAAAGTTTCAGTAAGAAATGAATGCATATATTTTAATGATTACTTATAATGCGAATAAACATATAATTTAACATATTCTTTCATGTTTGGAAATTGTTTCAGAAGAATAATTATAATTATACATATATAAAGTTTCTCTTAAGTGTTGTTACATCCTAAATTACAACATACAGGATATTTAAACATGTTTTGACACGGATTCGAAAACGAAAGTAGATTTTTGTGAAATGGTAATGTAGGTCAGTAAATATTGCAAATTTATTGATGTTTGAAAAAATAAACCAAATATTTTACCTTTTTTATATTTTCATGATAATTTGATCAAATATTTAAAGATGGAAATAAAACTAGAAAATTTAGTTTAAGTCTATTTTCGATTTTATATACTCATTTAAAGTTTACACACCTGTGGATTACTCCTCGATTCAAACAATCTCTCATTCTGAGGCACCACGTTTCCCTCTTGAATTCCAGCCATTATAATCCTAAGATGCTTTATAAATCAAAATTTAATTTTCATTTGTAAATCGATAGCTGTTTTAAACACAATCGGAACGTCCTCGGCTATCGGATTGAAAGTCGTTCTACATGTAAACAGAACCATAGTGTAATGTAAAACGAATGTATATATTTAACATACAAAGGAACATTAGGTGTTTCGGTACAATTATGGTTTAAAATATGTCTAACAACACTTTTTAATAAAAAATGCCCACTGATGTACAATTTTAAACAAATCCGACTTTACAGTCAACTGGTTTGCATTTTGTACTTTCGGTTTCTATATAAATAATTACTGTATTGTTTACTTTTTTATATATGAATTCACTTATTTTATGGGGACGTTTACTTGATATATTGGAAATAAACTTGTCAACAACTCCCAGCATTAAAATACTTTTTGTTTACATGTTTAGTTTTTTAGCGTAGGTTACACCGAAATAACCGTATCCGTTCTGTATTCATACTACTGTGTCGGAAAGGGCCGAAAAGTTGCGATTGTTTAAATCATCATTATCGACTACTAAAATATGCGGGCCGCTTGAAAAAATATAGGCAAGGTAATTTGTTCTGTCCGTGTAAATTTTGGCTTTGTAACTTCGTATTAAAATCCTGAATTTGTAATTGTGCCTGTTAAAACTTAGCGTCTTCCTTGTAACGCTCTGAAATAGCGGAATATTAATTTAAATTTGTTTTAATTTGGAAGTTGCTCGTGCACATTCGTCATTTTGCTCAAGAACATCATTTTGTCACATGAAAGCTATTTAGAAACTTACATGCACTTGAGATACAATGTCCATCTGAATACAGAAAAAAAACTGCCGATCATTTAAAATTATTTCACTAATACTCGTACATGACATTTAAACTTTATAGTGACAATTCTTTAAGTTTTATCTTTAATTTTTGTTATTAAGGTTAACAATCATATATAGGAAACAACACACATTTGATTGATATTGGAAAACGTCAAACGCATCATTATTTTGTCTATGTTAAATAATCACAAAACGCTAAATTTATCATGTTTGTGTGTATAAATAATCACAAAACGCTAAATTTATTATGTTTGTGTGTATGTCAAAAATAGATTGAAATCGTTTACGATTACTACTTTATGTTTACTTAATATGTGTATTAAATTCATTATTGAAATGCGATTGTTTAATTCATCATGAAACTTTGTATGTTAAAAAAGTATTATATGTGTGTTAAATGCATCATGAAAATGTATATTTTAAAATCAAAATTATCATTTTGAGTGCCAACGTGTACATTAATTCTATCACATAATTGTGTACGTGAAATTTATCATAACAATCTGTATGTTTTTAAATGTGTTTCATAAATTCATTATGATAATATGTACATGTATGTTCAATTCATCTTCAACTAAACAGCCAATTTAATATAAATGATCAGCGGGTCAGAATAAGCCGGTTTAAATTTCCCAGCAGTGCTTATGCTGCTGATCGTTACAAGGCGGCGCCCCCCCCCCCCTGTGTTCCTAAGATGCATGTCTTGGTTATTGTAACGTTCAATTGTGTTGACACTTTTGTGTCACCTCTTGTTTTTCTCGTCCATGGTAATTATCTCCCCTTTCCCTGAATTGTTTTCAATTTACCCCCACCGCCCTTGTCCTTTTGTAGGTATTTTAATTGATTTTCATTAATCAGTTTTCATCTTTGCTTACACAGTAGGTTTCTATGATTTTGCCCGTATACTCTGTCCTGTTTGACGTCCTTTGTTGGGGTCATTGAATGCCGTGCTTCCTTGTTGATCTTGTTTTTCATATTTTATAGTTAACAAAGAAAAAACAAATATGTACACGATGTAAAGTATTTATTTACACAATCAATGCAACACATTACAATTTATATTTTTCTTATGTACAAGACAATTAGCTAAAGCATATATTTACAAATTATTATGCTATTATATTTATGGCAAAATGTTCTTCAAAAAAGTATTTACATATAAATAAAGTAATTAAACTTTTTTTCATACAGTCGAGGACTTTTATACAAAACATATATACAAATGTATATGGTATGCAACATCAACAAAACAAAACATCAAAAATATAGTTATTTAACAACAAATGATACTGTTAGGTTAAGTTAATCTAACGTGGAACTACTTTTAATTAATGTACATCTATTTATAATATTTTTTTACTTTTTTTATAGAAAAACCTGATCTTAGAATAAGCTGTAATACCCAGTATTTATTTATCGAGTTATGCAACTTTGATTTAATAACCACCAATTCTTGAAACGGTTTGAAATCAGAATAGTCATAAACATTTTCTACAGTAAAAGATTCATCGAGTGATCTTGAATAAGTAGACTTATCAAGATCTATAAACTTCAAGGTAATTTATTGGCATCCCCATTTTAACACACGTGACAAGTTCAAGTTTAAGATATTAACAGCATTAACTTACAGCATACGTATTTTCAAACATTTCTTCAGTATAGAGTGTATCGTAATACTACAAAAAGTATATTGTTCCTCATTTTCATTGCATTTCATTTTTCTTTTTCATACTTCTTCCAATGAACTTATTTACATATCGCTCCTTCTTAAGTAAAGTTTTTTTATATGCCGCAAAATGAACACATGGTCAAATTCTAATCTATTTGACTTAAAATGTGATTCATTTAACAATCATTTAAAAATATATGTATAATGTGCAGTTCTTTATATTCTGTCCAATGCAAATTCTGAAAGAAGTCTTGGTGCAGCAGAGTCAAAGCCTACTACGTCAATCATGTTCTGATCGTCTTGGTCGGCAATAGTGAACTCTGTGGCACACATTCCAACAACAACCAGCTTGGCATTCCGTCTCTCGGAGTACTTCCTGTACTGTCTGATAGCTTCACATGGATGTATTCGGCCGAACCTATAAATTTGATTTTTTTTAATTCAGGTAAAATATTGCAAACGAATCAAGCAAAATATAACAAAATAGATGTCTATTTTGTTAAGGAATGTAAGGTTGGATCTTTCATGCATTATTTAAGTTTAATTTCCAGGAAATTAACAATAATGTTGACGATTACAATTATCATGGGACTATAAAAATCATTCATAATAAAGTTACTGTAATATATGTCAAGAGGTAAATTATTTGTCCCATCTGAATAACAAAAAGATATTAAACTGAATCATTGATAGATGACTTTTTAATTCTTTATTGTCAATATTTCGACTTATTTACTTATCTTCGATATCAAATATTATAGTAGATTTAAGTCAAATACCATGTTTCGTTGTCTGTGTAAATCACAAAGACATCAATGTCTTTAATTTTATTTTCCATGGCATCGAGCATTGGTTTCGCACAATCTGTTGACCCCATAGGTATAACATTCATTTTCTTCTCAACTTCTGCAAGGCTATCTGTTGGCTTTATGCCAATATTTCTCATATCATAGCTGAAGCCTTTAAAACGAATCATAGTAATATAAATACATACTTTCAAAACGTTACAAAATAATTATACATTAAATCAAAACGTTTTCTTCCTTTCATTTGGTATAAATGCTATAGTCTATAAATTTACAGTGCATGAAGAAATTTAGGTATTGCAATGTTGAAGCAATAAGTAGATACATGCTTTCACTTACGTGTGGTTTCTTTTTAATAAAATATGTTGTGTTAATAGAATATTTATGTTCTATAAGTATTATTACTGATTTTTCACGTACTATATTCTTTCAAACTCGTAAATATATTTATAGGAAATTTAGCATTAATCTTGCTTTTTGAAGAATAAACTATATCAATAATAAAATGATTTCTACTTTTCGAGATTTATTTCGGTGTGCTTTTATCATTGACTGATGTTCCTGACGAATGTATTCGATATTTTATCATCAAATCTAACTCTATCTTTAAATGGAGCCAGACATTCTAAGATTATTATGTGACATATGTCTTATGCTACATTATTATATTATCACCCACGTCAATTATATCGCTTTTCATCATGGTAGCTACGACTGGAATTAAACATTTTGTTTGTTGATATAAATAGTAGCGTACAAGTTCCCCAAACTTCATATTTTACAATGATCTCATAGACAATTCTTACACATATGAAACATGGAAACATATTGAATTAAATTATCTAAATACTTTACCTTTAATGATACAATTCTGTTCTGTCCTGGCCGTGACCATCATCATGGCCGCTGCAGCTGTTGCGCACGTCATATTCCTGATAAAACAACGAATAAATGAAAAGGACAGAAATAAACTCTACCGATGTCAAAATAAAAACTGTCCTATTTAGGACGTTTTCTATAGTTTCTTCATGTTTTATGCTATCCAAAGACCAAAGAATTAACTAGCGAAATAGTAAAGTCAAATCACATATTTAGATAAGTATTGGTAAAAGATTATAATTTTGACATACTCAATTCCTAAAACTCCTTGTGACATAGATCCACTAACGTCTACACCAAGGTAAAATTTCTTGCCCGTGGGCTCGACACCTTCAAAGGCCTGATAAAAGGCTGTATCCAATGCCATGATTATGTTCTTGTTTGGAATCCACTGGAGACTTCCTTTGTCACCTTTCCCTAAATAGCCAATAACATGTGAGGAGTCATGGGTGCGTAAATAAAACAACAATAAGTGTCAAATGTAAAGAGGCAAAAATCGTCATTGCGTTGAAATAATGCTTGATCATAGTATGTCATAAGGTAACAAAGCCTCTGAATCAATTAAAAATAACATCTCATATAGCTTTCAAAACACGCGACTAGAAGATTTGCCTGTTTGTTTGTTTCATTTTTCGCCTTTTTCAAACAGTATTTCAGTCATATAGGCGGGTAGTTACCTAACTATCGTTCCTGGAGGCGACTAGAAGAATATTAGTTTTCCGTGTACTAAGTGTGTAATACACGTTTATTTGTAAAATTGGGTAATGGAAGAAAAACAATTGCGTTTTATACTGCTTGTGTTATATCTAGCAAAAGTGTACATAATAAGTTATAACAAAATAAAAATTTACCTGCTTTGTAGGTTATTATTGCCAATAATATTTTGAACGGATGCAACAAGTTTTTCCTTTTAGCTTTCACTCTGCTCTGATCCCCTTTGGCCTCAGAATCATCGGTGTCTATCTTAATTTCTGTGCGAGCAACGCTTTCATCCAAAGTACCTATTGAAAGAATCTTTTCTAGGATCTGAAATATTTAAAACATAAATGTTATAGCACAAATTTCTATAACTGTATTATATTTATGCCCATTGTGATATATCCTTTTTGTCCTATATACTTGTTAATGTGTCTTGTTATGAAAGTAAATCCCATTAGATCAATTTTATTCTAAATAAATATTAACAGCCAATGACTATTGTTACAATTTGACAAAACAGTTTTAATATATCTAAAGGTTTAGTGTACAACATATCTTAACTGCTAAAAAACTTTAAAATAATTACAAGTTTTTCGCTGTCACTTTTATCAGTAAACAGTCCATAACTCGTCATTCTTCCAAGATTCCGTACGGCTGCTTCTATCGGCATATGAGGCAATAAAGTCATCCAGACTTCTTTACTCTTCAACAAGGCGGAATTACACTGTTCCCATGTGAGCTCGTATTCCCGGACCAAAGAACAAAGTTCCTGCTCGTCTGAACAGTTGGATGCTTTTTCAAAAGCTGTGAATAGTTTGTCAAGTCTGTCAAGTTGTGAGATAGTATCATTGTCCGTGTCCATTGCATTGTCAATATACATTTCACGCGCCTTTTCCAATCCTCTGACAATGAATCTATAATGCAGATAAATAGAACAATACAGTAGTCTTATAAATCTGGTACTATTATCCGATCAAAATCGTTTCACAAATCATATCACCATTCCTTTACAATTTTCATATGAATGTGCACAACAAGTTTTGCATGATTTTAGAAATTGTCAGCGCAATTGTTCAAATCTCAATGTTTCTGCATCAATATTTTAATCTTGTTGTTTTTTACCTCTTCTACTTCTTTTAATGTGTTAACCTTGATTGAATATTAACTTTTGTAACAAATGAACTGCAAATATGCGCTTAACTATTTTGACATTATCACATAATGAAATAATCTAATACCATCTGTCAGAAATCAACAAGCATAGAACTACATGTACCTTAAAATAAAGCCAACTGATCTGTCTCGAGTACTTGTGTGTGCTAGCCTTAACAAATCTTTATGAGTCCAACCTTCCCGATTTTTAAACTTTGAGACCAAACGAGCCAGTTTTTCGGGCTGATTCACAAAGTCTGTGTACCATTTACTGATACCTCGCTTATGTGCTCTGCCCCATCCTGATCCCACAAAGACTGAAATGAAAAAACAAAATTCTAGAATTTATATCAAATCCAATATTTAGTTAAATATCAGAATTATATACAAAAATGTAAAGCTTGTAAGGCATTAAATGTTTTATTATTTCAATATTGAATTATCACGCCCTTTTTTGCCATTGGCAACTATTTTCCCTATTTAGATAGCCGTAATATGTGAGTAGAAAAACAACTTTGACATGTTCAGTACCATACCTGCATCCTGTATATCATTCTTGCTTTCTTGTTCACAGAATTTGACAAACATGAACAAGTGTGTTGGTATTCGGCACACTTCGGATATTACGGCGTATGCGGCTCTTTTTGTGTCCTTATCGTTACATCTTGCACATATCGAGTATGCAAGTAACACAGAATTCTGCTTTACGTTACGTCTGTTTACACTGACCTCTTTTATCTCATTAACGGCTTGTAGACCTTTACCAGCGCTTATAAGTCTGCAGAAAACAATAACAGTGTAATAAAATTGCATTTAACTTATACCTGAAATTCATTCACCGAGACATCAATGTAAGCATGTGTAATACCCATTGAACAAAAGTTTTTGAAAAAAGAGAACATTGCAATTAAGAAATTAATAAAATGTACATTACGAGACCTCAGACGGTTTCCGTGGCTTATTTCAGGCATAAGTGGGCATACTTAAATACTAGATGCGCCGACGTTCTAATAATGTAGATGGAAAACTTCCTTGCATATACACATAATATAATATATATAATGGAAAATTCTTTGTTTAATCGGGTTCAAACATTTCAAAAAGCAATGTCACAAAACATTTTAACGAAGTTTGCATCATAGTGGCTTTTAAAAAAAAAATTTAATTTTTGAAATCCGTAAGATAGGTAAGAAATATTTCAACATACAATGAACAATAGACTTTCACTTAAATTAAAGTGAATTATTATAAATCTCACTGACATATAGTTTACTACTGATTGATCAGTATTCATTAGCAATATTGATTATGCATAAAATCATTCAGGTAGATACTAGAATTAGACAAATCAAACATTCAATATTAATTATGCATACATTTTGGAGGATAGAGGATAGATTTTTCAGGTATATTTGAACTCATTTTAAAAATTTCGTAAAGTATATGTAGCATAGGTGACTATATGAGTATATATAATACCTGTCGAGGCAACTGATGTTTTCCCGTGTTAGTGTTTGTTCTTTCGCGTAATAACTCCCGCCTTCAGTTCCCATAATGAGAAACCTTTGTAAGCGTTTTAAGTCGTCGAGCTTGTGTACGTAACCGTCTTCATTGTTGAGCACCTATTAATGAATTAATACAATTAATTATCTGTATTAAAAGAAGAGCAGGCAAATTTTACTATTACCATTACGTATTTTTCAGCAACTATGGAAACCTAATCTAACTGTGCATAACGTTACAATATACCTTATTCAAATGTCATGAAAACTTGATAATCTAACTTAAAACATTCAGTTGTTAGTAAGGCGGAATATTTCTGCCACCAGATAACTTGGTAACTAACTAGTTAATTAAGAGGTTAACTAGTTACGTAACTAGTGAACGTAACTAATTAACCTCTTAATTAACTAGTTTGTTATGTGGTTAACTAGTTACGTAACTAGTTATTTTTTTCAATTAACAAAAGATCATAACGGGAAATAAATGCATGTTAGTGCCTACAACTGCCATTCTTTTATTGTTTTACCAGCTAAATATTAAGAGGTTACCTAGTTACGTAACTAGTTAACCTCTTAATTAACTAGTTAGTTATATGGATAACTGTTGGCAGAAATATGCCACCATATGTTAGGAACGTTTAGTCGCGTTCTGTTCATCATTATTTTACAAAACGACCTTAACTTAAACAGTGTTTTGTGGACTAAATCTTTTCATATTGTTATCATAATTAAAGTTAAAAGGGTTGACAGAAAACCTTACGCTTTGCCGTATTAATTTGAGTTGCTCTTTACGGAAGCGTATCAGGGCCTACAGTTGGTGAGACGTTTTGCGCTAAGTCGACTTATTTTTATTCGCATTCATAAGATGTTTTTGCTTTTCTCGATAAAATTTAATGACAAAGTTCATAAGCTTTTGGGCATTGCAACTGAATTTTCTCGATATGCTTGAAGCTTTTGTCTCTTCGACAAAAATCCTGTCGAAACTTCTTGATTTCACAATTTTTATAAAATATTTAGTAAGACGCAAAGACGTTACTCGCATTGATAAATAGCTCACGTAATTCAACAAAGTCTTTTTGCAATGATTAAAAACTTCTACGTATTACGTATTAATCATAACGTCTTCATGGAATGTTTAACGTATTGCGTATTAAGTATAACGTCTTCATGGATTGTTTTTGGTCAAAACGAGAAAAAACAAGTTGACATGACATGAAACTTTAAGATAAGTGGAGGCCCTGATAAGCTTCCTTAACCAATTGGACATATTGTAAACATCTCTTGATACGACACTTTTTCAAGACAATTTGATAGCGAATTTGAAATGATTTATCATTTAATTTACATAATAATAATTAAATGAATAAAATAAATCTTATTTACTAATAGATGATCTTATATTATACAGTTTTGATGAAACTTTAATTAATTAATTAATTAATTTATTTATTTATTTATTTATTATTTATTTATTTATTTATTTATTTTTTATTTATTACTTATTTATTTTTTTATTTATTATTTATTTTTTTTTTTAATTTATCTATGTACTATTCCTTAATTCATTATTATTCTATAATGCTAATATCCTGGTTTACTGAGGATTTCGGTTAAGTGGAGATCCGGTGTTTTGGGTTTTTATTGTAAATTCATAAAACCAAATGTATAAAATCTATAAATTTAGATTTTAAATAATTTGTTGATCTGTTTCTTTTTTATTTGATCTTTATTTTTCTATTTTTTTTTTTTTTTTTTTTTTTTTTTTTTTTTTTTTTTAAATAAAGATTAACAATGCTTCATATATGGTACACTTAAGTTCAGTTCATCTGTAGCAAATTTCAAAATGAATTCTATAGACGCATTGCGAATTCTATGTTTTACAACGATTGTTATATAACAGTATTGGAAGGTTCATTTTAAAACATTTACATTTACATCTGTGTCATTCTCAGAACTATCGAATTATCGACAACTCTGAAAGGTGACTTTTTTTTTTTTAGAAATAATTGAAAAATAATGAAAAAAAATCGATTCCATGTTATTACAACACACTTTCATTACAATGGAATAACAGGCATACAGACAATATTTACGTTACCATCCTTTTCATGTAACATTTGTGTTTAATTAGGTTAAATTTACAACATTTTTAGTGACATTAGACTGATTTGGTATCAACTAAGATTTTTTTTATTGTAAAAAATGAATTGTTTCACATTTAAGTGTACCTGCAATTGAAATTTCCAATATACCAAAAAAAAATTTCGTGTTTGATTTTTTTAATCAAAACAAATGTTTGAAGTGTAAACTGAATGAGGAAACAAATGAATTTCTCTTTCGAAATTAAAAAAAAATATGTATAAGTTTTGGTTGACGAATTTAGTGTAGCCTGTATCTCCTGTTTGACATTCGATTATTATATTTATTATTATAATTATTATTATTATTATTATTATTTTAATTCATTGCATGTATAATATATATATATATGAATGCAATGCATCCATTATTATTTGAAAAATTAAATTAAGATATTCATACACATATTTTTATGGTCAGACTATTGAATGCCTCGCTCGTATTATTTATATTTTTGCCATTCCGCGATATATGGCTATAAATGTTAGCCAGCTATCTGGAAAGTTTTATATAACTAAAGAATATTTAATTTAAAATTGCAACCCTGCATCAGACTTGGAAGGCAAAACATTCCATGCTTATAACAGAATATATAATTTTTTCATACCTGTTTATCCCCTCCTTTTAAAGATTCGAACAATTTTTGTTTTTGAGAAACAACTTCTCCTGGCTGTAGCCCAGACATAATCAAAAACCTTTTGGACGGACCTTCTGTTTGCACAGATAGTCTAAGGAATGTACAAACTTGTTGTTCGCTTAACCTTTATATACTTTCCAAATTGGTTTCCCATGTTGTTGCCGCATTCTTCACACGTATTTACATTTATATAATTATATTTATAGAACTTTTCTAAAAACCTGCGTATATTATAAATGCGAAGTGGGAAAGCTATTTTTAGAAACAATTGGGATTTTTTTCTTAGGTTTCCATCTCCTTTCATCATATTGCCCGCCGAATATTCATTTTCATTTTAAACATTTGTGCACATTATCTCAATTATGGTATTCAATAATTTAACAAAATAAACAGTCAGTATCAGTTTCATTCATTCATCAATAGTATTTAAATTCTTTAACTGGAATAAATATTATATTTGGAAACACTTGGGTTTACCCTGTTGTATTTATAACTATGTGTATCTATAATTAGACTTTTAAGATCTCACTTAAACAATTATATAAAATCTTAGTTTTGAAAAACTCTATATAGGTTACTATTTGTTAGTCAGTATCAAAAAAAATTACATCTGTTTACATTGAAATTAAGGGGTGTACATTTAGTGGTTGAAATTTTATTTTCGTTCACTTTTTCAAATTATTTTGCACATTTTGTTTATTTAATCTACAACAACTTGTCATTCAATGATATCATTTTAAATCAGTGTTTCATTCTCGCTTCAGCAAGGAAAGTGTTTCTGTCGCCCGACTACACCTGGCCAGACAGATTTAATTTCTTTAATTCTGACTAATAAAAAGCTTACCGCTTACCTGTGCTTGAAGATAAATTATGTAATTAAAACATCTGTCTAGACTAGTTTCTAGTTTATTGGGCAATGGTGAAGGGTAAACAGGGTATGCTTCCCAGTAAGTTTATTTTAACAGTATATTTGAATAAAATATACTTTTCTGCGTGAAAAAACGCATACTTCGATATTGAATTTAGTTGCATTTTTATGTTATCATAATTAAAGGGTGAGTTTTCGAGTTGGCCAAAACTCTGTAATGCGATAATCACAAAGTCGCACCGTTACTACCTAAAGGCCTGAAGATGTACATTTTTCAAAGCATTACAACACGAAATGATATATTTTATGAGTCCTTCAAATATTTCCCTCCAAATAAATCCCTTGCAGAATTTAAACAATATCACTACTTGGTTATGTGTAATAGTTTATGAAATGGAAGTCGGTCGTGCATTATAGCAAAGAAGGGCCATTTTGGGAAATAGAAAGTATGTCTACTTCAGGAATAATGGAATAACTGAGCACCAGAAGTCTGTTCTGTGTTTTGGTCTTGCGGTGAAGAATTGTTTTGTCTTCATAAGAAATCATCCCAACAAGAAGAAATCCTTCTATTCTTCTAAATTTCGTGTTTTTGAGTAATCCCACAATCCAGCTACCCAATTTTTAAGTACCTTTCAGGGCGTTGGTATGCATTGATATGCGTTAAAATTGTGTCTATAATTTATGTTGAATTACATAAGCATATGAATTAATCTTCCCTTTTGTTAAGATTTTTTAATCACACTGACATGGCCTTGAGTGCTTTTGGTTCATTATCTATTCAAATATATATATAAAGTAGGTGTGCCAAGAGTTATGAATACTTAATATAGTAACAATTCGGTTTTTCCAAATGTATTTATAGTTATATGTTTATGCAACTGCGGAGAGATAAATATCTATAGGTACCTCTTACCACTAGGAAATATGTATACAATGGCGACTTAAGTAGGAGATCATTGTTCGCTTTGTTTAAACATGAAATAAAACATTTCAAGCATTTAAAAAACCACAACATAATTGAAGATTTTTAACCATTACTAAAGTATATATATAGTGACCTGAAATGCTTTCATACAATATTTTCAAAATTCATAAAATATATACCAGATTTTTTTAGGATTTTATGTATAAAAGCACATTCTATTTTGTTTGCAGTATAAGATTTTATGTATAAAAGCACATCCAAAACACAGTGTATGTGTGTTTTTGTTTGCAGTATGTCATTTACACAAAATCTACAATATGCCCTTCATTTATTTGAGTTAATTTAATTGCAAATGTATACAAAAACTGATATTATCGTTTTATTTAAAGCAAGCTAAGTTCCTGCGTAAGTGTATGACATGTTTTAAGCTGATTTTATGAAGTCAAACTTAAGGTGATTCACCTACGAAAGGCCAGTACATTTATTTATTAGCCAAATTTTTTTTTTTTTTTTTTGGGGGGGGGGGGGCATGTAAGATTTTATTGATGTATATCCATGTTTTTATAGATCAAATATAAGATGATCCGTGCATACAAAGATTGGTTTAAATTAAATTGTTGTAAACTGGTTAGGAACACCGCTTGAGCCGGTGCTAGAGAGAGATATGTTGCTCTTTTCATCATCTCAATCAACTCGATTAAATCCAATTATAACCATTCTTTTCTCCTTTTCCTAATTTTTAACCCATTGTGTCATTTTCAAGTAAACTTGACCTAATCTGGAATCTAGTTTCTGGAAAACCAATAAAACTTCATAGATCAGATAAAATTTGTTCGCACACCACAAAGGAAAACAATATATGAGGTATTCTAGATCATTTCTAAGATAGTTTCACTTTTACATTTTGCTAAATATGTATAGAGAATAGATTTTGATATTGAAATAGTCCCAGCATTGTTTCGGAAAAGAATAATATGATGTTAAGGATCACCTGTTTCGTATCGTACTGCGCTTTAATCTCAGTTATATTCTTTTTATTTCCAGGATGGGAAATTGTCAATCGTTTTAACACATAAGGAAAAGCGGAAACTTAATTAGTATATGTTATCTATATCCCTAGACAAAATACATGAACTTTTTACGGTAGCCTTGTGCATCCTCAGCTATGGTTAATTTCTAATATTAATTTCGAAATACATGTAGTTAGTGGTTTACGCGTCGGACTAGTTATCTAATAATCGCAAGTCGCATTGATTTTTAACCCCATCATTGGCAAGTTCTTGTTACCTTGAACAAGAAACACTTATTGCTCAGTACTGGTTGATTCAAAGAACGGATACCAAAGTGTGTCTATAAGCTTAAAGACAAAAATTGCCAAATCTCAATTATGATATATCTACATTACTGGTAAGATTTACCAGTGTAACGGTTGGAAATAGTCGCAGTTTTCTCTTTTATTTTTCTGGAATCTTATTTCCATATTGTAAGTACCAAACTTTCATGTTTATTGAAAAACCAAACAAACTCGTTTCATTTCAACAAAACATTTAATAATTTTCAAAATAAAACAACGATAAAAGAAAATGAGTAGAATAGTATCACAGATCAAGAATCATTCAGAGGTTATAGATAAATCAACAACCTTTTAACGATATTAATCATGTTACATATTTAACAGCATGGTAGAATCACATATTAGCTGTATAGTTATCACAACCAGAGTACCATATTTACAAATAAACAACGTCAGTTACAAAAGAAGTAGATAAAAGATATATTACTACCAGAGTATAAGTAAAAAATGTAAACTGAAAATACTGTACAAAAATATTTGAAAAAATATCAACAAAACAATATATGAAAATACTGAGTTTAAAGCTTAATATAAAATGGTGATTGGTAGCTTTTGTTAAATATTTATTAAGTGGAATTCCGGTATTTTTTCTCCAACTATATATTCTATTTATAGATAACTTTTACGAAATATAACTATATATTCTATTTATAGATAACTATCAATTATACTTTATACTGAACATTATTGTGGCTGAAATTAATGGGCCTATCCTAGACCTTAAAAGATAAACGGGCTAAATAGATAAAATTCAATACGAAATGATATGTATCATGCAAATACAAAATCAATACGCAATGAAAACAGAATACCAAACAAATAGAATTAAAATAAATCAGCATTTTTACATGTACTACAAGTAAAAACATCTCGTCATTTGTAATAAGTTGGGTTTTTTCCAAAAAGGTGGTAAAGGTATCAATCATATTCAAACACATAGTTGCAAATTTTGAATGACCATTGACAAACTAACTGGAGAAAAAAAAACATTACAAAATAAAACCTTTCTGTATGTACACCTAATGGATGGATAGTATTGAGCGTCGTACATCTGTAACCTTCTATCCTTCATAACTCACCAATGGCAAACCTGGAAATGATAGATGGAACGGCTGAATCGAACCCTACCACGTCTAGCATGTAAGGATCATTCTGATCGGCTATTGAAAAACTTGTTGCAGACATTCCGCATACAATTAGCTTGACGTCATGTTTTCCCGAGTATTTCCTGTAGTCTTGTAGAGCGTAAAATGGGTGACACTTCCCGACCCTAGAAATAAAACAGAATTGAAATGATATAATTCCAATAAAGTTAAAACCGATGCGGAACATTTTGATCATAAACTACATCTCATTTCCCAAAAGGCTTCGACTATTTCAGTGGCAAGAAATAGCGTGACAGCTGCATCGCATGAACAGCTCTTAGTCCTTTCCACAGCAATTACTCCCTTAAATGCAGCTCGAATAACCTATTTACAGAGTAACAAAAGAAGCTAACTGTGTATACATGTTACTTTTACTCACCCTGTTTCATTGTCAGTATAGATAACAAACACGTCGATGTCTTTAATCTTTTTATCCATTGCATCAATCATTGGCAGGGAGCAGTCAGTTTCACCTGCCGGTATCCCATCTAAACTTCGCTGGACAATGTCAAGAGAATGCGTAGACTCAATAGGAATGTCTACCATTCCATCACTGAAGCCTAAAAGTACAGAAATGTTTAATAATAATAACCATAAAAATCGAGAAGAATTCGTTGCGTAAATGCTTGTGTTGTATTTGTCTTAAGTTAGGAACATGACAAAAGTGGAACAATGATTTGATGATTGTTTCATTACAATAACTCGATGAAAATATTGAAATTGGAAGCATAAAAGGACGGAAAAGCATATTATGAGGTAAAGTGATTCCATCTCGCCTCGACCCAAAGTGCAGCATAAATTCAATTCTTGTTCTAGAAATGAAAACACTTTGAGGTCGACATAACATAGTCATAACTACTTAGATGTATCCTGACATACATATATATTTGCGACATTTCAAAGGATCTGGCGGTTGCTCTTGTGCTTGTGTCATTGTAAATGCAAAAGTTTATCACATAATAACTTTGTAATAGTATTATATCCATCCTCAGCAATACCTTTTATTATGCAATGATCCTCCGTTCTTGCTGTTACCATCATCATTACCGCGGCTGCAGTTAAGCAGTGTATATTGCTTAAATTGAAAACATTCTATATATATTAATGTACTAACGAAGTGCTTATTTTTTACAAGTACAGCGAGTACAATATTCAATATTTTTACATCAACTTTAGCGTTATCGTTTCTATTTACTGACTTTGTAATACTTATTTTTTAAATGATATTATATAAGGGAGTGCATAAGCACTGGTATGCTATAAAAAGATGATAGATAAGCAAAGATTGGAGATTAAATATATAAGCATTAATTAAGTACCTACACAATTATTGCAGCGCAAATGAACGAAATGCAACAGCCTTTCTTTACTTTACACTGAAAGCTGCTCAAATTAAGCTTCAGTTTATATGGATCACCGATTCCCAAAATATTGAAATAATGTGTGAGAGTTTGTAATCAAAATAAAATTAGGACAAACCAGAATAACACAATCAGTGGGAATCTAAAGTGATATGATCTAAGAAAAGTAAGCTTATATTCCATAGAAACATACCTGCTACCTAGCACAGGTTGAGACATTGAATCACTGACATCAACGGCAAGATAAAACTTCTTCCCTGAAGACTGTATGGTTTGGAATGCCTTATGGAATGCATCATCAAGTGCTTGAACAATCCTTCTGTTTGGTGTCCAAGACAAGTTACTCCTATCTCCGTGCCCTGGAATACCACATCAAAAATCTGATTCGTGTGTACAGTTATCATTTCTTTCTTTACGCATTTTTATAATATTCTATGAACTGTAATAGTTCTGTTCTTATATACATATTGAGAAAAATTCATGTCTGAAAAGATCATCATTGCAACGGCAAGTTCGAATGAAAACCTACTACATATATAAGATGGACATTTTACGTGTTTAAAAAGGGATATTGGAATAACTTAGAAACATATTTCTAATATATTTATTAATTATGAAGAAAAGTGTTAGTACATCAAAAAATTGACAGTTGGCAAGTAGTGGAATTACCTGCAGATATACCCTTTTCAGCAAAATCTGCCAAAATATTAAGTACATGTAGTAGCTTCATAGAAGAAAATTATCCCATGAAACGTATATTAAAAAACTAGATGCCATTACATTACACGTGTCACGTATATGCATATACACATAAGGGAGAAAGTAAGAAAATTTAAAGATACATGTATTTTTAATTAATTGACCAATACAAACCAGCATTATATTGAAGCAATGGCGGCAAAATAGAAAAAGGATGTACGATGTTTCTTCTAATCCCAGATTGGAGAATCTGAATAAAATGAAACAGTTCATCATCCTCGTTCATGAACATATCTTCATCTCTCAGCTGAAGCAATGGTGTAGTGTTTATTCTCAATATCTTGTCGAGCACCTAAAAACATATACATTCTGGTATTATAGTACACATTTGATCTCAAATCTGTAATTAAATCTTTTATAGCGAACTCATCTTTATGGGAGGTCTTTATTAACCTTTCTCTTTTCAAGCCACAATTTTAAAACATATCCAAATGATACATTTTTGACGTTCTTTATGAAGATTTGAAATACATATGGGAAAATGTACCTATTGAAGAATTATCAACTTTAAAACGCATTGATTTCTACAATAAATTGTATATGTATGTTATTTATTTATTTATTCATTCCGTATAGAATTTAATGTTCATATAGTCATTGCAGTATCCTGCCGACAGAAAATGTTATTTCTCCTTTCAGTGATCAGCAAATAACTACTAGCATAATTTCCGACAAAAATCATACATATCAAACACGATTGCCAGAGTACTTACAACGTTTGCGCAACATAGTCATAATAAATTACATGTATTTTAAATGATATACAATATATACGGAATAATACGTAGAAGTAGCTGTCCGAGGCTTTGTATTTTGCTACGAGCAGCGTAAGCACCAAAGGTCGAGCGAGATATCAATTTTCCCAAGCAGCGAGTAGCAAAATACCTGGCCTTAGAAATCAACTTAAACAAAAATATCCCTTTATTATATACCTTTACATTTTACGACAAAAACAGTTTCGATTAACTTAACTTATATTAGGTATTTTCAGAAACTGAAATATAGCTGTCGAGGCATAAAATTTATGAAGGGCAGATAAATACGTAATTTTTGCAAAAAGGACATTGCCTTCAATAGTTTGGATTCCCGTTTCCAAATACTACGTAATACACAAGTAATAATGGAACCGGATTGAAAAATATTCCGGCATTTCCTTATTTGGAACCGTACTATATGTGTATTTGTCACTAACATAATACGGATTTTCCAATCGATTGAAGCGTATTCACGCTTAAGGCTTAGCGCGCATTTTAGGGAGAAAAAGTATATAATGAATAGATAATATAAATGTCTCTTAAAGTGAAATTTCAAAATTTGATTTAAACATGAAAGATACTTACAAGCTGTTCCTCTTCACTATTTTCAGCAAACATTCCATAGCTCGTCATCCTCCCTAGATTTCGCAAGGTCGCCTCTACCGACATATGCGGTAAAAGTGCGAGCCATACATCTTTGTACTTCAACAGATCTGAATTGCAATGTTCCCAGGAAAGCTTATTAAGCCGGATGATATGACAAAGTTGGTCCACATTAATACATGTCGCTGCTTCTTCAATGCCTTTAATCAGCTCAGCCAACTTGTTAAGTTTTGCAAGTACCTCTGGAGAAGTTATCCTCTTACCATTAATATACATTTCTCGCGCCTTGTCCAATCCTTTTGTAATGTACCTACAATAAATTCGATAAGAATTAATAGCCATATTTAAAAAAAATAAACCCAAAAAGGGGAGATCCATAAGAGCAATGAAAACAAAACTTTCAAAAAATACAATTGGAGAATATGTTTATCAAACTGTCTAGCTGAAGCAGTATTCAGTTCTTCATAAAATGAATTTTCACAATGTCCAATAATTTCTGTCACCACCTAAATCAGTATTCAATCTTCACCGAATGATAACCCGTTTCTGAGATTGGAAAGTAAAAGTAACTTAGTAGTAATATAAATTTCCTTTAAATTCGTTCTTGTTTTGTATTGAATAGTGCCATCATTTTGAGTACAAATTAAAAGAGCAATGAACATCTTAAACTAAAAAGAAAGATTTATTTTTGTGTGTAAGGTCACACACACAAGTTTGCTTATGTTGATTTTTAAAAAAAAATCAATCACTTTGGTAGCACGTGTCCTTTAAGCATTAATTAATCCAACGAACCTAAAACTCCGTTATTCTAAACTAAACCACTTCAATGTATTTGACACAACTTTAACCTTTCAATGCTTCAAGACGATTTGTGAAATTATTTGTATCGAGAAGCACAATATGTATATATTAAAATATATGGCCTTAATTGGAAATGTAAGTGATGTTTTTTACACAAAAGAATTTTTTGATTTAATCTAGTTTTTTTTTTCTCTACAGCAACACTTACAATTCCAATTACAGGGCTAATACCTTAAACAATTTCATACGACATTACTTCATTTGAATGTGATTGAATTGCCCTGATAAATAAAATGAAAATCCCAACATTTATTTGCGTACCTAAGTATGAATCCTACTGCAGGATCACTTGTCTTGGTGTGTGAAAGTCGTATGACATCTATGTGAGACCAATTATTTCGCCTCTTACACTTTGTGACGACACGAGCAAGCAGTTCAGGATTTGGGGCAAAGCCTGTATACCACTCACTAACAGCTCGTTTGTGTGCTTTTCCCCACCCAGTCCCTAGAACAAAACTTTCACATGGTAATAAAAATGTTATCAGATTTGTTGTTGTTGTTTTTCTTATTAACATATGGCTCTTAAATAATAATAATAATAATAATAATAATAATAATAATAATAATAATAATAGTAAAGGACTTCACATTTAGGTTATTATAAAAGCACTTACAATACATATTCAACAAAATATTTACTTTAAAAAAGTTACAAACCATACCACTTCTGCTTTCTTGCTCACAGAATTCAACAAACTGGAACAAATGAGTTGGTGTTCTGCATATTTTGGAAAGATGCATGTAAGCTGCTGTCTTCGTGCTTTCGTCATTGCACCTTGCGCAGATGGCTAGTACTATCAGCAAAGAATCCTGTCTAAGATTGCGTCTATCAAAATTGACCTCAGTGACCTTTGTGATAACATCTACACCTTTGCCGTCATTAATGAGCCTGTAAATTCAATATGTTTACCGCTGAAAAAAGAGCTAACACCAGATTTGGAGTACTTGATGACTTAATATGTAGACAAAATAATAAAAGCCTTTAAGTTTCCAATGTTTTCTAACTTTAATTTGTTATTGAAGAAAGGTATCTTTCTTTCTTACTGTTTTAACATCGTTTTCATTTCACCTTTATACAAACAACCACCTAATACATGTACTAATTTCCTTTTACATAGTGAAAGAATGTTATAAAAAGTTTACATTTTAACATGCTAACAAACAATTAATTGGTAATTATGCAAATGAGTGCCTTGATGCATGCTTGTTTGTTATTTTGCTTAATATTTCTTTGTTTGATTGTTTGTTCATGTTGTTCCTGGAGATTTCTTAGGTTTCCTAATCAACTGAATACACTTTCGGTAAGGAAATCGGTAGTGGAACATTCAACCGATGCGCTGTTCAGTGAACGGCAGTGGAACATTCAACCGGTGCGCAGAAAGTTGACGGCAGTGGAATATTCGCCCGATGCACAGAAAGTGAAAGGCAGGTGAACCTTTGACCGATGCGAAGAAAGTAAAAGATAGTGGAACATTTGACCGATTCGCTGAAAGTAAACGGTAGTGGAGCATTCGACCGATGCACAGAAAGTGAATGGCAGCTGAATCTTCGACAGATGCTCTGAAAGTAAACGGTAGTGGAACCTTCGACAGATGCGCTGAAAGTCAACGGTAGTGGACTTCGACCGATGCACAGAAAGTGAATGGCAGCTGAACTTTCGACCGATGCGCAGTAAGTAAACCGCAGTTGAACCTTTGACCGATGCGAAAGAAAGTAAGGATTTATGTGTAGTTAATTTGTGCATGTATGTTTCTTCTTATTGGAAATAATTTAGCAGGAGAAAATTTAACGTGATTTTACAAAATAAGTGTCCTCTAATGTTCCTAGAGTAAAATCAAGTTACAGTTTGTATTATCCTACACGTATACATTTACAGGTAATACATAAACTGTGTAGGCCCTGTTTTCATATTGTAAACTAACATACTGTTTGATGAAATCTATATTTTCCCTCTGCACGTCAGACTCTGTGGCATAATAGGTCCCACCGGAGTATCCTAGCACCAGAAAACGCAGTAAACGTTGCATGTCTTTCAATGGAAACACAAAGGCATTTTCATTATTGCGAACCTATGAACAGTAAATACAATGCACATGTAGTTCTAATTTTATTACAAAAACAATGACCAGTTGTTCAAAATATCCCAATCTTTTCACAACAATGACATAATTTTCTCAGAGAAATATTTACATTTAATCCTCAAGAAGGGCTTATTGGACAATGTAATAAATATATAATACGTGTAGCAACAAATATTAATCTATGTAGGTCAAAAAGCAAAGGCAAATATGTTTAAACTTTAAAGGAGAACACAATCCAATCTTAGGTTTGAAGCAACCATGCAGTTACTTTGAATTTGCGAAATCAAAATAAGCCCCCTACCCCACCATAAACTCATTAATGACAAAAGTCTTTCGTTAACAACAGGACCACTTTTTAGAAGATCCTTGTCTCGGTTACACAGTTACATTCTAAACAGTTTCTAATGAAGCTGTGATCGACCACAGAAATAGAAAAAAAAGACACTCAAGTAAGGATAATAGCGTTAAAACTATGGTGCTATCAGAATCGATGTACTACAGTTTAATATAAGATAGATTTGACAAATATAGGAATGGAACGTTTTAAAAATAAATCGAGACAAACGACATAGATATGGTGTTGGCAATCAATGAATGATTTACTGAAAAATAATTCGACTGCGTAAAAGAATAATCACAAGAGCCAACGCTTAAATTAGCGGGGGCAAGCTCATCATTTTCTGACTTCTAATTCAAACACATTGGATGAAGAATATGGTAGTAACGAGTAAAGAGTTCTCATAAAAAAAACTTCTGGTGAACAATAAAATTCAAATTTTATATTTGACCTTCAGTCATAAAAAGGTCTTTGTCACATTTGAATTTATCACCTTTTCAGTTTTGTCATCCGTGTTCTTTTGTCCATAGTTATGACAAGTTAGATTTAATAATTTGAGCACGACGGTCTAGGTCAGTTAAAAGACAAAGACATTGAAGAATAATTCAAGAATGAATAAAGAACTTTTTACAAAAATACGAGTATGCATTTAATATTAATTATATTTAAAATTATGATCAATGCTTGATCTGCACATGCAACAATAAATTTATTAAAGGAATACTAGTAAAATGAAACACGGAATTTAAAATTCTATCATGTTAACCTTTGACCTCTAAGTGTGACCTTGACCTTGGAGGTAGAGGTGCAGGTGTTGTGCATGACAAATCGTCTTATTAATATTAATATTTGTGCCACGTATTTTCAAAATCCCTCTAACTATGTAGAAGTTACAGATCAGACACAAAATATACCCTATAACAGACTATGTCAATCTTTGACCTTTAAGTGTGACCTTGGAGGTTGGGACCCATGTTTTGCGCCTGACATATTATCTTATTATTGTGATTATTTGTGTAAAGTATTTTTAAAATCCCAAGTTATGGACTGGACACAAAATATACCCTATAACAGACTATGTAAATCTTTGACCTCTATGTGTGACCTTGACCTTGGAGGTAGGGACACGTGTTATACATGACATATCATCTTATCATTGTGACTATTTGTGCCTAGTTATTTCAAAATCCTGAAGAAGTTCTAGATCAGACACATAATATACCCTAAAACAGACTATGTTAACTTTTGACCTCTAAGTGTGACCTTGAACTTGGAGGTAGGGATGCAGGTGTTGCGCGAGACACATTGTCTTGTTATAGTGACTATTTGTGGCAAGTATTTACAAAATTCTTTGATCTATGAAAAAGATATGGACTGGACACAAAATATACCACATAAAAGACTATGTTAATCTTTGACCTCCAAGTGTGACCTTGACCTTGGAGGTAGGTGACCAGTTGTTGCGCATGACACATCGTCTCATTATTGTGAACAATTGTGGCAAGTATTTACAAAATCCCTTTAAAGATAAGAAAGTTATGGACCGGACACGACATATACCATCAAATAGACAATGTTGACCTTGAATGAGCAAGTGCGACCTTGACCCTGGAGGTAGGGGTCTGGTTGATGCACATGACACATCTTCTTATTATAACAAACATTTGTGCCAAGTTATTTCAGATTCCTTTGATAAATGAAGAAGTTATGGACCGGACACAAAATATTCCCCGTAATAAACTATGTTAACATTTGACCTCCAAGTGTTACCTTGACCTTGGAGGTAGGTGACCGGTTGTTGCGCATGACACATCGTCTTATTATTGTGAACAATTGTGGCAAGTATTTACAAAATCCCTTCAAATATAAGAAAGTTATGGACCGGACACGACATATACCATCAAATAGGCAATGTTGACCTTGAATGAGCAAGTGCGACCTTGACCTTGGAGGTAGGGGTCTGGTTGTTGCGCATGACTTATCGTCTTATTATAACAAATATTTGTGCCAAATTATTTCAGATTCCTTTGATAAATAACAAAGTTATGGACCGGACACGAAAGTGTGACGGACGGGCGGACAGACGGACGGAGCCTATTACTATATCCCCCTTTTTTCTTCAAAAAGGCGGGGGACAATAAATCTCGTATTACATGAAAATAGAAATATCTTAAAATAAAATTTATACATCATGTTAATACCAAACAGAGAATATAATAATTAAAAAGCCTTTCCTTGTTGATCTTGTTTATCATATTTTGTCCTAGAATAGAACAAGTGTTATTATACTTCACAACAGCAGGTGCCAAGTGCTGTGTGGCAGCTGTAAAAAGTTCCCCCGTACTTCACTTCAGTGTTGTTATATTTTTCTGGTCCTTCAGGATCATTGATGCCAGCACTATTAAGTGTTGAAAATTGAGTACCGCTCAAGCCGATGCTAGGGGGCATGAGGGTTGTTGCATTTATTCATTATCCCTCATGTACAGACTCAATTAAACCGAGTCTGCAATTCTTATGTTATTTGGTTGTGATTAATGCTTCTGAGGGATCACTTTGTTTCCGGATTTGTATTATAATATCTAAAATAATAACATTTTTACAATGTTATTTCTTTTTTCTGTCATCATCGGGGTTTTCTAGTTCCGTCTTGTTCTTGTCTACTAGTGTACTGACACACTTGCCTTAATTGGTCATTATTGTGCCAAATGTCTTTTGCACTAGATTTTGTTACAATGGTGGGATTTGGTGCTTATGCACGATAACAAGTTATGTTTAATGTAAGTGAATGATGGCACAACCACCTTAATTGTTCATTGTACCCAATGTCTTTGCACTATTATTTACATGTTGCGCGAGATCATTCTCTATTTTGTTTCTAAGATGCACAATTTGATCATTTGTTTCTCAGATGCACTTTTTAATGATCTTTTACTCAGATGCGCGATTTATTGAATATTAAACGTTATTCATTTCACTTTTATCAAAACTATTATTATCACTATTCATACAACACTTTATGTGAACTTTCTTTATCGCTTTCTACACAAAACACTTTTAAAAAAAACAGCACCTTTTAATAAAATCAATCATAAATTAACGTTTAATTTGTATAATGCCAAACGTTTAAATAAAGAATCAGTTACACTACCATGTTTAAATACAATCATAAGAAATATTATGACAAATGATTAACAAAACTGTACCATTAATAAAGAAGCATCAAAATGGTTGTACAATAATGCCATAAGTAAAACAGGTCTTTCCTCATTCAAACAAAAATATATGATATCCAACTTAAATCTTGTTGACATGTAAAATACATATCAACTTTTAAATAAATCAAAGTCTACACCACTTAAAAAAAACACAAAAGACATATATGTTAGACTCAGCTGCGAAGGAACAAACAAACGCTTACTTTAAGATCATTACATAAGTGAACAAAGAAATTTCTGTGAAACATACCATCAACGCCTATAAATTTAAATTCTATAAAACATCTCTAAAACTCAAAAATGTGATGTTTCGAAACATCAAGCCCATAGAAACTTCAATTCTATGTAACAAGCACATAAAAACTTCACTAAGACACCTAAAGCAGCCTTACAAAACTCAAATAGAAAAACTTGTACTTAACAAAAAGGTTAACAAATAATCAATTATTGTAACAAAAATTCAACCCAACATATCAATATCTTGTATGTATACAAATCTATCTTTATTTACATAAAAACAACATGGTAAGGTATAGATGGCAGTGTAACTTATACTTAAATTACTTTCTTATCATTTGTCAGTCTATCAACAAACTCTGGTTTGATCAGTTTAACGCGATCACAATGTAAATTGTCACGCACTTTTTCTCTCGTCTCGGATACACGCAAGCATCTGGTCCTTGGTAAAAGTCATCTGATTTGTATGTGGCATTTTTTCGTGGTTTATGGTTTGCGCTGGTTTGTCACTTTGTTGTCAGGGTTCAAAGGCGTTTTCTTTATTGCCTATTGATATTTATTGTTTTTGACTACTGCTAGGTAAACAGTAGCAATTCAGACTGTCCAATCGAAGATGGCATCTTTCGGTCTGCTGTCTTCAGTTGGTACTTCTTTGGCTTTGAAGGGTTGTCGTTTGGTTTCATTTGGCATCAGTTCTGGGTAAGGCGTTGGGTTGTAACCCTGAACAGGAATCGAATCTTCTACTGTTGCTGACTTTGTTGAAGCTGATGACAGCTTTTGGTTCGTCATCTGGTTTGTCATCGGCCAGTTTCTTGAAGTTTTCAGCTACTGGGTGGACTGACTCTTGGCCTGCAGAATCAGTCCCTTGAAATAAAATGTTTCTTTGACAGAGTTTCTTCTTTTGGTTCATGGAAGAGGCTGTCGTTATAAATGTATTTGTCATTCATCAGTGATTGTTTGATTTCTTTCGCAAATTGTAATAGTCTTTCTTCAGTTACCAGTTCCTTTGGATTTACACCCTGTTATTCAGGAGGGTATTCATCATCAGAGTCTTCTGTGTATCTTAGATGGCGTAAAATAGTTGTTTGTAACAGTCTTGGTTTGCTATAGGGATGTTCAGTGTGGTAGTTTGACTGTCTAGGCTGTAATGATTCAGGGTCTATTCTTCTTGATAGTTTTGACGTCTTCTGAAGTATGCTTTTCTTTGTTGGTACTGGTGATGTTTTATTGACACATGACGTGGAGTAAATTTTCTTGATATTGATGAGTAGACTGGTGAAACATGGTGTCTTTGTTCATCTTCCCTGGTTCTGCTTTGTGTTAGCTGAAGTTCTTGTAGTTGTTTTTTAAGAGTTTACTTCTCGAAGATACGGGATTTCTCTAACTGAGTCGTCGTTAAGTGAAGAAGGTGGAGGCTGTTGTCTGGAGGATGTTGTTGTATACATGGCTGTCACAGTAGCAGTTGTGTCTCCGATATGAAGTTGCGTATTGTGGTGGATATGCTTGTGTAGGAGAATAATATCTTCTTCTGGTATGTTGATGCCGACATTGGTTTGAAGGGTTCTGGATAGCAGTTAAATCTTGGCGTAGAGTTTGCGTGTTTAGCAGTTGGCCATGTTTGACGACATGAAGGTGGAATCTTCGGAGCCTATGTACAGACAAATTTTGAAATTAATTACATGTAATTGGTTTGCCAAGTGAAATACCTTTAAAAATGAAATTTTAGAATTAATTTTATGAATATAGACCGAAAGTTTTCTGATTATACACACTATATAGCCTAAATTGTGTGTTTATTAAATAGGCACTGTCGGACGCTGAAAATTAAGTTTTTATTAGTTGGAAATGACTATGTACTTAATAAATCAATTTTGCTATTGATCTCTTTACTTGTGACTTTACTTTCCCCTAGTTTTATTTATTTTATTTATCCCCCACCTTCCCCGGGTCTCCTGTCCCCTTCCCCTGCGACCTTTGACTTTATGGGCCTATTATTCAATCATTTATTTGTTTTCTTATATAGTTCCTTATCAGTTACTAATTATTTATTCTTATCTATGATTTTAATGGTTAGCCTGCCCATTCTCTGCCTTGTGCCCTGTCCTGTTTTTGTTTGGGGTCCTCCTGGGCTCCTTGCCACTGGCTCTTGTTACTGGTCGGGGGGGGGGGGGTGCGTTCATTGAACGCCGCCTTTCCTTGTTAATCTTGTTTATCATATTTTATATATCTTTGTAAGGGATTCTTTGGGAATTGGCTTTACGTTAAATTTAAGAGGTAAAATAGGCCTGGCTGGAAAATAGAAAAGAATTTTATTATGCTCGGGTCATATATGATACGATGTCCTTCCAACTGCCACACAGTATAGCCAGAAATAGTCTCCTATTATTGTATTATTGATATAACGATTAACTCATCTAACATCCATCTTGCCGGACTGCCTCAACCGTACAACCGGAAGGATGTCAATGTATTTACCGTCTATTCTTATATGATATTTACTGAAACTAAATAAGCTGTTCAGCTTCAACATTCAGGCCGCCCCTATTAGTTGAAAGAGAACAGATCACCCAGACACAGTTGAAGGAAGAATAGATAGGTCAAGAGTATTTACTGATATGACTTTATTTTAGTGCTATTAATTACTAATTTTGTATTCAAAAATTTATTTTGACAAAATGTTTTAATCTATAATCAACAAAAATAAAGTTATAATAATTCAAGATAACTAACACTTAGAACAAAGAAAAAATATTAATTAATCTTATTACTTATGTAAAACGAAATTACTAAAATTACTTACAAACTTATCAAAAATGTTTCAGTGAATTCAGATAATGAAGTGGCTAAATAACTTAAATAATTAATTAACATTAGATCCTTTTAGAAATGTCATTTTTCAAAAATAAGCAGCAGGATGCCACAAGTCGCTGAGATGCCTGTATAAATGGACCTCTGAATTCCAGAGGGAGCTTACATCTACATACATAACAACTTATCTGATTGGTCTGCAAACAGCCGTTAACAAATGCTTTAAGCTTAGTTCTTTACATAACTATTCTAAAAATAGAATATAATTCATGGAAAAGTTCAACATGAACCATATATACATTTTCTACAAAACATAATAATACAAAGTATTAAAAGAATTTAAATACTACTCAGAAACTAAGCATATTTATAAACATAATTATGTGAATGTTAAATTTACAACTTATACTTCACTAAGTTCAAAAACAGTGTGAATGAAACTATAGAACCATTATCTATATATTGTTTATATATTGTATATATAAAGAGTTTTAGCACATGCTAAGTTACTGTTAAAGAGTTTATCAATAACTTCTCCAAAACCACTCATACAATTATAATCAACATTAAACAAGTGATTGATAAGAATGAAATGTACATGTATTTAAAACAATACATATTTGATATCATTAAACTTTAAAATAAACTTAAATCTAATTAATCTATATTATGTAATGATTATTTAGCCTGTTGTAAATGGAATCCTACTTTACAACAAGACACCAAAGCCATTAATGAGTGAAGGTCATAATCAATTTGGTCCACTCGATGGCTTCGTCAAAAGGATTGTTGTGTCCAAGTATAAAGACAATTTATTCACAAAAATGTTATAGCCAATTATAATGAGCAAAGACATCAAGAAAAATTCAAACGCTTTTTTAATCAATTAAAGTCAATCAATTAAAGTCAAGTGCAGTCTGGTCTACTTAAAGGTCTTGTCCAAAGTTTTTTTGTGCCAATCAGTTCAGAAATATATAAAAAAATGGCCACTGTTCAAGTTTCTGTATGTGTTTTTATTTTGGTATGTAGGTATGACTCATAGTCGGGAAACCTGATAAATGTATTTATAATCCAAGCGTCTGAAACTCGGCTATTAATCAAAATAATTTGGTTCCCTGTCTCATTACCTTTTAAATCGGGAAAAATATAACAAAAAATTTTGGGATTAAAAAAACCCAAAATTTTTAATAAAAACTGACATTTTTTTTTTACACTTAACTAAAAGTTGTTTAAAAACAAAAATAAGTACAAAAAAACCCAAAATATTAACTTTTCCCAATTTAATCACAGAAGGGATAATAAAGGAAATAAACTATTAAATTAAAATTTTAAAAACCAGAAAAAAGGGTAATAAGAAAATAAAAAAATAACCTTAATGTTTTGTCCTGCCAAATAATCGAATAAATGCAGTAGAATTTTTTTGTTTTAATCAAACATTGAATAATCAACAAAAAAAATTCTAAAAAATTCAAGAAAAACTGCATTTAAAAACCAAAAAAAGATTTTAAGTAAACAAATAATCAAAAATTAAAAAACCCACGACACAAAAAACCAACTTTAAACAAAAATTTAATGTAAAAGTTTTTTAAAAAAATAAAATTTTTGAACATCAGGGATTTAAAACAGAAAATAAATCCGGGGAATCTTTAAAACAAAAAAAAAATTTAAATTTTTTAAAATTTTAAACCAAATTTTTTGAAAAAGTATTAAATTAAAAATTAGGTATTATATACATTTAAGTAATATTACAAAAACTAAGTAATTTTTATATAACCTTTGAAAAAATAAATACTTTAAAAACCAGAACCCCAAGGCCATAAATGAGTGAAGGTCATAATCAATTTGGTCATTAAAGGTTCGCAAAAAATTGTTGTGCCCAATATAAAGAAAATCTATTCATAAAAAAATGTATACCCAAATTTAATTCACAGGGGGCAGTATCAGTTTTTTGGACACCCCACCCCTATCTGCCCCGGGACCCCTACAAAACCCCTGAAAAAATCATTCAACACCCCAAAGGCTTACTAAAAGGGTCCCAAATAAAAAAAACCACCGATAAAATTTATAAAAAAAAAAATTTCCACCATCAAAATTATATTTTTAAAATTATTTTCTCTAACTAAAATTTTTTTGGGAAAAAAAAAATTTTAAAATTCAATTTTTTTTTTTTTTTTTAATGAAAAATAGGGGTTTAAAAAAATGTTTTGGTATGGGGTAGATCATACCGGGAAACCAAATAAAATGTATTTATAAAGACTAATATATGAAAAAATCGGCAAAAACCCGGCTTTTTAATAAAAATGTTTGGGTTCCCCGTCCTTTTGGGCCCCAAATCCAAGAGGGTTGCCCTTTGAGTTTTACCCGTTTTTTGTTTCCTGACAGCATTAAAACAATTGTCAACGGTATTTGTCATGGACTTTTCCCCCTTTTCTGACCCAAAACAAACATATCTCAAAATTCAATATTTTTACTATTTATTTTAACCAGTTTTGGTTTAATGAAAACTGAAACTGATTAATCAAACAGGTGCAACTACAGGATGTCATTTATAGTACTACGGGTAGGGCTATTGTATCCATGGGCATAATCCAAGCAAGATATGGTCCAAAACAAAGAGTCTCTGAAGTAAAAACGACCTTTAGTTATTTTTTTCAAACTAAAAACCGAAAGTGGTGAAATTTATTTAAAAACCGCCATAAAGATCCACTATTGTTTTGTTGACCCATGTATGTTCGAAAAGTTCCTGTAGTCGCAAAGGACCGCAAACAACTAATAAATTTAACAAACGAAAATAAAACACGCCTAAAATGCACTTTAATTTTAGCTTTGACCTAACTGGAATTTTAACGAAATGAGCTATAAAGCGAATTTTGCTTAAATAACATGGTGGACGTGGCTCTACCATGCCTCCGCTGCATGCCGGATTTTATAACCCTTTGTTCGCAGACCTTCTGTGTTACAGATAGCAAAGAGTTTATGAAAACGTTCTTTGTTTTAACAAAACACATCTGAAACTTAATAAGCTATATAAATAAACATTACGTGATTGTATAAATAGTAAAACAATTAACGGGTTTTTCCAATCAAAATAAGTTTGGTGAACACTATTGGTTTTTTTTAAAAAAAAGACTTTACTTGGTTATTTTTCAGTTCTTTTAAAAACATTTTTAAACCTTTTTGTTGCTTAAAAAAATTTCCCTTTAAAAAAAAATTTAATTTAAAGCTAGGTGGGAAACGATTTATATAAAAATCCCGCCCCCCGGGGGGGGGTTAAGCCCGATAATTTTCGATCGGGGTTACCTCTCTGGCGGGGGTACAACCCCCGAGATGTTTTGGTTTAATTTACGCGGGGGAAAGGGATTTTAGAAACTGGGAACCCCCTCCGGGAACGATTTTTAGAAATTCCCGCCCATATAAACGAAATACGGGGAAAAGGGCTAAAAAAAAAAACAAAAAAAACAAACAAAAAAAAGCAATATTTAAAAACAATATAAAATAAGCCGGGAAAAAACATTTTTATAAAACGGCGGGTTTTAAAAAATTTAATTTAAGGGCCCCCCTTAGGGCCCTAGCCCATTGAAATTTGGAAAGTTTTGCAAATGAGGGGAATTAAATTTTGCAATTTTCAAAAAAAAACAAAAATTTTTACAAAAAAAAAATTTCCATTGAAAATTTTCCCTGTTCTGGCAAATTT